CCCGCAGGCTGGTAGTGCAGGCTGCAGCACCCTGGCTGTGCAGCGCCCCGGCCGGGCCGCGCGCGCCGCCCCTGGCAGCTCGCCGCCGCCCTCCATGTTTCGTGCGGCTCCGCCGCCCCTGCGCGCGCCTCTGCAGACCGCGCCGAGGGCATGGCTGACCCCAACCTGCGCCTGGGCCGAACCCTGTCCTTCCTCAACCTCATCGACCTGGCGGGATCGGAGTCGGCAAAGGTAGGTGGGGCTGCAGGGAGGCAGGGCAGGAGGGAGGGCGGCAGGAGGAGGGGGTGGGGTGGCAGAGAGCAGGGCAGGAGGCGCGCGCCCGCTGCGGTCCCGCGCCGCCGTCTGCCGTCCCCGCGTCAGCGCTGCCGTGCGTGCGCCGCCTGCCGGCGACTTCGTGCGTGCGTCCCTGCGCCCGGCTGTACCGACCGGTACCGCCTGCCCCGCCCCGCGCAGGCGGAGGTCAACCGCAGCCAGCGCATGGAGGGCAGCTTCATCAACAAGTCGCTGCTCACGCTGGGCACAGTCATCCACAAGCTCAGCGAGGGCAAGGCGGTGCACATTCCCTTCCGAGACTCCAAGCTCACCCGCCTGCTGCAGGGCTCGCTGACGGGTGCGCCCGGGGGCCCACGGGGGCGGCGCACTGCAGCGGCCTGGGTGGGGGGAGGGCAGGGCAGCGCGTGTGGGCGGGCGGGCAGGCGGGTGGGCGGTTTTGGGAGGCGGGCAGGCACCCCCCCCAGGCACAGGCCGTGCTGCGTGCGCAGCCACCAAGGCTGCCGCCCTCTCGCCTCGCCTGTGCATGCGCTGCCGGCCAACCCTGCAATGCGCTGCCCTGCGGGCTGGGTGCAGGCAGCGGCGCACGCATCGCCGTCATCTGCACCATCACGCCCGCCTCCACACAGGCAGAGGAGACGCACAACACGCTCAAGTTTGCCAGCAGGCGCGCCGCGCCGCGCCGCCTCGCCGCCTCGCCCGCCGCCGCGCGCCCACGCCGGCACACTACGCTCCGCATTCCCGCCCCCAACGCACCCGCCGCCTCACCTCACGCTCTGCCCGCCCACCTCACGCTCTGCCGCCGTCACCGCCTGCTGAGCCTGCTGCGCGCGCTGTGCCTGTCGTATGCAGGGCGAAGCGCATCGAGGTCAGCGTGGCTCGCAACGAGATCATGGACCAGTCGTCGCTCATTGCGCGGTACCAGCAGGAGATACAGCTGCTCAAGGGCCAGCTGGACATGGTCATGCGCGAGCGTGAGAGCGGGGGGCAGGGGGCGGGGGACGCTGCGCTGCGCTGTGTCTGTGCTGCACTGTGCTGCGATGTGATGTGCTGTCCTGTCCTGTCCTGTGTGTGTGTGTGTGTGTGTGTGTGTGTATGTGTGTGTGTGCCC